TGTTAATAACAATTTTATTACAATTTTTGCGTCATTAACGATGTTAGTCGTCTGGATCCGAGGGAGTCGAATCGAATCCATGTTATCCAGCAATCGATAACAATATAAAATTTCAATATACAGTATCTAGCAATACAGTATATTCCAATTCGGCTATAATCGCGTTTCAAATTTACACTATCCACTATAAGCTAGTTAATTATTCATGCATGGTCTCTGGTTTTGCCAAAAACGAAATGAAATATCTTTTCAAAGCGTAATACATGCTCATTACCCGTTCGATGCTGTTTAAAGAGGTCCAGTCAATATAGAACATTATAAATGAAGGAAAAAACTTGATTAAATGAGAGTCGAAATACAGTAAATCAACTATTTACTACATTATTTAGTATTTCGAGCGCAGTAAAAAAGTACATACACTATTGTTAGTTAATATAGAAGATGATGACTGCTAGATGGGGATGGAAACCGTTAGCGTCATAAAACTACAAAGGAATTTGTGCACGTGGTATAACCTGACAATCAGATGGCTCGCCAAGTATTTTTTTTTATCATTGGCAGACGTAAACTTAATTTAGTAAGCATTCTGAAATTAATACAAAGAATGTATTTTGTGTATCTGCCAATACGTGGTTAAAAAAAAAAAAAAAAAAAAAAAAAAAGATTTACGTCTGCATTTAGATGCAGTATATACTAAAGAAGTTTTATCAATTAATATTGATTACGTTGCAGCCAAAATTTGGCGCCTATAATCTTCGGCTGTATTAATTAATAGTTTATTTGTTTATGTATAGATTATGTTTTCAACAAATAAGGCATGTTCCTAATAAGTACTAATGGCGGCAAATTAAAAAGAATAGAGTTTTTATCCCTGATCAGGATGATCAACTAGAATGTTTTGCGCCACAATATAGAAAACCGAAAAACCCGTGACGAATAGAATTTACCACTGCATCCAGGTTTATCACATGAATATTAAGAATTTGAGGACGGTGTAACCATTAGAATATGGGGCAAGATTGTACTAGGTGCATAACGAGTTTATTCTGAAACTCAATTTTGAGTTGGTGTATCGCATAATCGTTATTCTTATCGTGCCAATCGGATCTTCATTAGTATATATATAAGACTCACTCGGAAAAATTTTTTTTTTTCCTTAGGTTTATTTGGTTATTTGCCTGATTTTATGAATCATGGAAGAAGAAATAGTGGCAAATACCGCCGCAGAACCATTGACAATTACTCAAGATGTTTATGACATTGCGATTCTCAAGGGGCATCTTTGTAAACTTCTTCCCTTGCTCTTGGATGCTGACAAGGAAGACTTGGAAGAATCAATATGGTCCCCGAAAGAAAATAATGATAAATTAAAACGGTTTGCTGTTGAGCCGCAGTTTTCCAATCTATATATCACAAAGACCAAGAAAGAGTCTGATAAGGAGAAAGAAGGTATTAAAAAAAATTCATAATAAATTATCATGACGAGATAGAATGCATGAATAAACATATGTCTTGCACAGATCAATTATAAATAACAAAGTTCGAATTGGATAAATACATTATATTTGCACTCACAAAACATTTTTTAATTCGGTTTATTCGCTATGAATTCTTAGACGAACCACCCTCCGAACCATCCTCCGAGTCACCTTCGGAACCGTCTTCTGAGTCGGACGTTTATGAATATTCCATAACTCAGGAACTCTTCTATAATCCGAGAAATGTTGCTTGCGTTGCTGTCATTAAACAAGGATCTACTTTAGATGCGAACCGCTCCATTCAATCGCAAATTCAAGTTATTAATTTACCCGGCCCATCTTCCAGTGACACTGGAACCGATGTAAGCCCGTATGAGGCTTTATATTCCTACATTCACTCCGCAGTTACACCATATTTTGATGCCTATGTTATTGCGAAAAGCTCAAATCTTGATGGAATAGTTAGTTCCAGCGTTAAGAGATCTGATGATTCCAAATCTAGTAAGCCACACAAACGCTATTTTTTGTCACGATGAAGAAAAAAGATTTGTTGAAATGCACTTCTTTATTTTAAAAAGGTATTTCCATGGCGAAAAAGAAAATTATCGAGCTAGAATTGGCACTCCTTAATCTTCAACAAAACGTTGAGATTCCCGAAATTACTCTCAACATTCATCCTGTCATTCAAAAAGTTGTTGAAAAGGCAAGTAATTTTATTTATTTATTTATTTTTGTGGAGGTGTTCGCATGGTATTATTGATCAATATAGTTATCATTCACTTAATATAGTGCAAACAAGAAAGAATACGTGTCTCTGTCGACATGGTTGATTCTTCAATAATCGATTCTGGCTTTTTAAATAAACTTCAAGGTGATGTAAACGGTTGGATTAAAGAGATCCAGAAAGTTACGAAGTTGTCGCGTGATCCCTCGAACGGCACAGCAATACAGGAGATCAATTTCTGGCTAGGCATGGAAACCGCACTTGAAGATATCAACGAACGACTTAAAAGTGATCAGATCGGTATGAATAATTCCTCCATTCAATTTTTATAATCATTTCTTTCCAGTAGACAATCCCTAATTAAATAAATATATATGTATATATATATATATATACATATTTCAAATAGTTCTTACTATGGACATTTTGAAACATGCCAAGCGTTATCATGCCACCGTGTCATTCATGGCCGATACGGGGCTAAAAGAAACCATTGACAAAGGTGATAGTTGATTACACGCTAATTACCTTCTATATTTCGCAATAATTTGTATTAAAATTACCTACCGATTATTTGACATCATTTTAGTGCACAAATACAATCAACTTATGAAAGATTTTCCTCTTAACGAACTACTGTCTGCACCTGATGTGGCGCGAGTAAAGGATTCTTTGCACGATATATTTGATCATTTTAAAAAGAAATTGAAATTATCGTATGTATACATGCATTTGACAGTTTCCCTTATCGTTTATGCATATTAAATTATATTGTTGTTTCTTTTAGTCCATACCCGATTAGGAACGCCCTTCTTCTTGTTGAAGCTATTTCTCGTGATTTAAATGAGCAGTTGCTCAAGGTGCTAGCCGTTCGTAGATTGATGTACATGGAATATGATGAATTCGAAAAAGTCATGTCCGGCGCCGAAGATGTGTTTGCCACGTGGGATGAGATGATCAAGGAATTCACCAATGTGGCGCGCGAAGTTACGCG